GACATAGATGTATTTAGACAACATCCAAGGAGGAAATTTGATCTGTGTATGTCAAATACTGCAGACAGTTTAACACATCAGATCATTCCCTCTCAGGTTTATTTATTCTCATGTTCAGTATGGTTTGCAGCATTCAATATGAACATAAGAAAAATTTTTCATTAAATACTGTACAACCAAAAGACATACTGTAATAGGAGACTTTAAAAACAAGCTTTAAACTAGGATAATAAAAAAAAAGTATGCAAAGCTAAATTATTAAAACTAAATTAAACTAAACTGTGCTCTGGTTTTTATTAGTTCATCACAGAAATGACAACTGCGTGGCCATGTGCAGTATCTTTTAAAGTACTGTGCAGCAGTGTCAAATAAACATCAGCCTTTTGAACTCATAACCGTATGAATAGACACACAGAGAGCATGACGTGTTGATTTTACTGCCCAGAGATTGGCTGGATAATTTGTTTAAAATTGGGAAAAAACACTGTCGACTAGCAACGCAGCTAATATTTACCCCACATGTCTGTCTGGCCAACCTTCGCTCAGTATATGTGTGTGTGAGTGTTTAACCTGGCTGTTCCATGTAACCACTGAATATAAATATGCTGTCAAAATATGGTCAGCAAAATGAGAGGAAAGACAGATAGACACAGACAGTGAGAAAGAAAGAGAGAAAGAGAGAGAGACAGTGAGCAATAAATAAGAGGTATTTACCCGCCCTCTGCTCTACAGGAATGTAATCTTGGCTCAGAACAGTGTGGTAACACAAAGAAACCCGCTGCAACAGCACTACTAATACAGATATAACCCGCACACACACACACACACACACACACACTTGGTCTCTTTTCCTCTGAACTCAGACATGATGACAGTGGGTGTGTCATGCTGGCAGGTAGACAGAGTACAAGGTCTATGCTGTGTGCAAGTGAGTGTTTGTGTATCATATTATGTGTAGTATATTGTAGACGGTTACCACTCCTTTTTTATGACATGGGCAGCAGTGTTGGGGGTAAACAAGGACCTGATGCTGGGTTCACACAAGGTCACTGGTGATGTCACACATGCCACACAGTTTTATATTCATTATGTATATATATACATATATATATATATATATTTTATTTATATATATATATATATATAAAATATAATATATGTATGTGTGTGCGCGTGTGTGCGTGTGTGTGCGTGCGTGTGTGTGTGTGTGGGGGGGGGTGTAATGTGAACCAACCATCCTGTCCAGGGATGGGTGTGGCCTGAAGTAAATGAGGCACAAACCAGACTGTGCGGGAAAACAAGTACGAGGAGCTATCAAGTCGGGAGGACAATGAAAACAAGCAACAGAGGAAAGAAAAATGAGTGAAGGAGAAGTGGGCTAGAGTAGGCGTGCATCAAATAAAAGTAGGATGGAAGGACTTGAAATTGGCTCGCAGTTCCCCTCTGTGTGGGTGGACTGGAGCTGCAGTTCATTTACTGTAGTGACTAACCTATATTATTTCAGACTCATTCTAGTATAAACTAATGAGGCAGGCATTAGCTTCTGCAACCTGAGCTGACCATTATACTCCAATCTGATTAGAGTGCTTTAGTGAAGCAAGTAACACAAGTGATTACAACTACTGAAGTTTAAAAGTAGGTTACTTCCTAAACATATCATGTGCACTGTTTTTTTTGTCAGATACCATATGTCAGATATCGCATCGCACTTTTCCACCTGTCTCATCAGTTGTATTAGAGCAGTTCTAAATATTTAGCTGTAAGTATGAATCTTTTATACAGATTTAGAATCAGCATATCTTTCCTAACCTGTCTGCTCAGTGGTTAATTATTAATAGACAAAGTTAAAAAGCTGACTTTAAATCAGGGAGTTCTGGCAGACATTATCCTTCTCCAAATATTTACCCCACTTCAGCATAGCTGAGCTGTCTGTGCTGCACCAACCAGATACACAGGCAACAGAAAGGGCTGTGCTCTGAGGTTAAGGCCAAGTCTAAGGCCAGTGAACACCCCCCCACACACACACACGCATGTATATTGTTAAGTGCATGGATGCTATGCGTGCGCACACACACACACACACACACACACACTCACACACACACACACACACACACACAGACAGACACAGACAGACAGACACACACACACACACACACACACAACCTAGTAAAACCTTAGTTTTATTTCTATGGCCTATATGAAAACGTGGTTCTGATTGATTGTCTTGCTTGGGGGTATATCATCCACATCTGATTACTGCTATTATGATTTCCCCATGAAAAACAGCAATTGAACTCTTGTTTTTGCTATTTCTGGTACAAATATATTCCCTGCTCTAATTCCCTCAGCATGGACTCTTCAAGCGTGGTTTAGTGCAGGACACATGCTTTTTTGTGTATGAGGCTGTCTACGTGTCTACGCATGTATTTAGTATATAGTTTTTCTATGGTGCGCGCACCATGCAAAAAGGAGGCCAGAGAGAGAGAGGAGAGAGAGAGTGGCTGTTGGGGAAATGACTGGGTTTGGGTGTGACCTGCTCAGCTATGCAATGGTGATCATGTGAGACCTGTTCTAATTATACACCTCTCAAGAAGAAGGCCGATCCTTTCTCATGGGCAGAAAGAGTGCGCACATGTGTCCAAGAAGGTGCGGTGTGTGTAAGTGTGTGTGTGTGTGTGTGTGTGTGTGTGTGTATATATGTATATGAGCAATGTGGCTTCATCTAACACAACTAAACTGAAAATTTATTCTATTTCAACAACTCAACCTGTGTGAAAGTGAAGTAGGTTATCCAGCGTGTGGGTTGTGGGTCTATGTGAGAGAAACGTGTCTCTGTGTATGTTTGTTTTATAGGTCTCATCTTTTGGTGTATACATACAACTAATGAATCAACAGCCTTCGCTTCTGATTTCTTCCATCGTCTGTTGCTCTCTCTCTCTTGCTTTCTCCTGCTCTTTCCACTGTGGGTTTTTAGAGACCTGCTCTGTTTTTCATTACCAGTGGAAAAATAGGGCAAAGAGTTAAAAAAAAAGTACCACCCATCTCCATTAATACACAAGTCCTAGTGGAAAATGAACCCAAATCACTAAAATAGGACCCTTGGTTCCTTTAAAAAGCCTCCATATATCTGCCAGCTACTCCTTTCCACTGGCTGAACTTTACCTTAGTGGCAATTTAAATACATGTTCACGCATTGGGACCTTTCTGCCTATAGATAAAAGCTCCACTGTGTTGTCAGCGGATGTCTACATGTGGTCACTATATTGAACTGAGGGGCCCAAGACATTTGTGTTGTTTTGTAGCAGTTACATTGCGGCTGGGAGAACAGTTTGCTAGGTTCTTATTTGTTGATTATTATAACATTTTTTGCACCCAATTAATTTCTGTGATCAGCGAACAGAGCAATATCACTTCAACAAAGTCAGACAGGGACAGAAGGTCAAAACACAGGTTGCAAACAAGCCAAGAATTTAGCCTTATTGCCTACATCTTTATGAGCAGCACATAATCACTCACCGGACAACTATTTTAAGTATGATAAATCAAAGTTGAACCAGGAAGTGGGTCTGTAAACTGCATTGGATGTTTACAGCAGACAGTTTGTGTAAAAATTTTACAGTCTTTGTTTTCCTTTCCCAATAAGTTTTGCTAAGCTGGGCGTTTGTTTGTGGTTCTTGCCCATTCTGACTTCTCTTTAGCAAAGTTGCTGTGTTCCCAGATCTTTCAATTAAATTGGAACGTCTTAGGAGGTTGGGGAGAAAGATGGTGGCAATCTCCACCGAAAGGAATGATGACCTCAACTAAGAAAATACGACTCAAGATGAGATAAACAAGAAAAATTAAATTTAGCTTGTAACACATACACATGCACAGGCGTTAGCATATTGTGAGGAAACTTGGGAAGAGTTCAGCTAGGGCTTGACAATGTTCCTCTGTCCACATCTGGCTATAAACACTGTTCTATGAGTCGACACACGCTGTCCTTATCCTAACCCTGCCCTGCTCACACACTGCCAATGACCACGAGTCACCGATGTCTGCAGGGGCAGAAAACAAACAGAAGTACACAGCCAAACCTGTGTGGGTGTGTGTCAATGCTGGAAACTTTGGGTTGAGGTCCACCCAGCTCTAGAGATCATGTCCTCCGATAAAAAGACAAATTGTGAAAGAGAGAGAGAATGAGAGAAAGGAAAAGAGGTGTTTGCTTTTCTGCTGCTGCCTAAAAATGGAAAATGACTGCATGCACCGCCCCAAATCTGCCCCCAACTTTGCTCTAAAAAACACACACATACATGCATATAGAGATACGCACACACTCACAGACGCCCTCTTACTGCCCCTAGGCCTCTGCACAGGAAGTGGTTTGACTGAGTGAGATCTACATGGTGACAATATCGCCTCGTTCCTCTCTAGCTGTTGAAACGTGTTGCGCTCAGATCATCCATATGAGTCTGTACATGTGACAGCCTATTCATTTGCAATTTCCCCATTCGAAAGCTGGCACACAGCAGTGTTTATCAGTTCCAGAGTGACTGTGCTGACACAGTAAATTCAAGCAACAGTGTTTATGTACAGTGTAATCAGTCAGAAATGCGAATGACTCCTAAATGATTCCTGTTTGAAAGAAAAGGGCAGTCAAAACACCGCCTATCCTAGAAAATTCCACAGTGCAGTGTTACAAACGCCTGACTTCTGCTTCCTGAATCTAAAAAGCTGCAACCCCCCCCCCCCCCCCGTGCTCTTGATCACATGTTGCAGTCACCTGACCAGAAATAGGTGGGACCAAGGAGAGCACATGTCGTGGCCAGATGGTGCGCTCTAGCATGGTGTAGACTGTAGACAACTGCTATTTGTAACTGGTGTTTCCAGTTTGTAACCCCATATATTCCCTCAAACTGCCTCAACTGTCTGAATGTGCTCAGTCTCTTATCTGTGGCCTCTCCGTCTGTCTGAGATCTGACCTCCAGACTTCCTGTCCACCGCCTCTCCTTCCTTACCTTGAGTGAGTCGAAGCAAGCGATGACCCGTCCGTTGTCCACCTGACAGCTCTTGGCCGGATGAGCGAACTTGCACTCCTGGTCAGAGCGCGAGCACGTGCCCCTCTGGAACTCCCTGCATACCTCAAGTGTCAGCCACTTTGTGTCGCGGATATGTGCCATGTTCATCGCCATGGCGACACGCTGGCAAAAAGGTATTCCGAGCTGAAATCTGTTCAAGCGCTAATAAAAGTACCTCTAGTGTTTTAATCCACAACTTTAAGGTCTTTTTTTGTTTGTTTATTTGTTGTTAAAGTCTGTGATATGTGTGTGTAAAGTTGAAATGAAACATTCAAAATAAAGTTCCTATTGATGGTATAGATCCAGAGTGAAATGTTGCAGGACGACGTTATGTTGTGAATGTTATTGGATAACGTTCCTGATCAGACACAGAGTTTATATCCAGGAGATGACTTAGCCTTACACTTGACTTTTCTCCCTCACTGCTGTTTGCTGAACGCTCTCAACATTTGCAAGCCAAGGAGGCAAACAGGCGAACAGACCAAACCCAGAGCCCTCTGGTGAGGTGTGGTGAAGCAGGCAACAAAGGTGATAGTCTGGGTGTCGCCTGCAGGAAGGTTAAGGACACTGAGGGCCGAGTGGAGGCTTAGAGGGTCGAAGGCGAAGGTTAAAGGCAAGGTGGGTGAGATGCTGCGTGGGCCTGGAGTGTGTGTTGGGCTGCTGTTGGAAGGCTGGTAAGGCAGTGGGGCCGTCTGGTGAGAAGAGCTGAGGCTGGAGCCTGGCTGCGAGGAGTGGATGGTGATGGTGATGGACGGACGAGCAGGTCGGAGTGTAGGCTGCGAGGAGGGTGTGGTCACTGTCCTTGTACTCGTGTTACTGTGGCAGCAAGCGAGCGAGGCGGGGGGGGGTGGGCGGGGGTGGAGCTTTAGCTGTAGAAGCAGGTCAAAGCTGCAGCAGACATCAGGGAAGGCACTTCCTCTGGGGAGAGAGAGAGATAAAAAGGAGGGAAAGACAGAATGAAAGATTAGTCTGATGATACGAATCCAAAGAAAACTTTCCGGTTTATTTATCATTCATAGGAAGTTCTGACTGGCAGTATTTTTTTAAAGTTGTGCCACTGCTAAACTATGCAGCTGTGGGAATGAAGAATATGTAAAAAATGTCAGAAATGCAGAACTGTCAGCTAAAACAAATAAAACTTTCACCCACCCCATGCTCTAAACACACATGGTGCACACGCGCTCATCACACCACACCACGCCACACACACACAAATGCACAAAGCAGCCATTCACAACTTTCAACCTCTTCTGGTCAACGCAGGAAAATCAGATCAAATCCTGTATCACTTACAGTCGAGTACAGCAAAGCCGGCCATTGCAAATGTGTTTAGAGGTGAAAGAAAGGAAGAGAGTGAAAGCAGAGGGAAGTTGAGGCAGGGCATGAGGGAGAAGAGGTTAGTCATTTCCCTTCTTGCGAAGCGGTGTGAGAGTTGGGACCAATGAGAGCTACCAGAGTTGCAGCAACATTCTGGGCTGAGCGCCAGGTGAGAGCAGGGGGAGGAGCAAAGAGGAGGCTGACCTGCCTGCTGCTAGAGGGAGACAGAAAGAGAGAGACAGGCTGAACTGTCTCTGCTCACTATTTCTGTGACTACCTGATTTCTCGCAAACAGATGAGGAATTTCTTTCAAACAAACAACCTTTCATGAAAGATCCTAGATAATATTATTTTCCATGAAGTCAAGCATTTCTAAATAAAAAAGCACCATTGACGATCTCACACAGATTTGAACGTGTGACAATATCATGTTTATTATTTCACTCATAAACCAAATTTCCCCAGACATCATGGGTTGCGGAGTGTTTTTTGCTCAGAGTTGTGCCAATGTTGCCAGTGGTTTCTATTTTTGGTGTATTCATTGTACAGAGGTTTGCTCAGGGAATTTGAATGACTGGGCTCCCGGGGGCCCATTCTGCTCTTATCGCAGAGGCAGAGTAACTCACCACACCCTGAGTGAAGAAATCACCTTTCCCACAATGAGCATATGTACCTTCAGCTGTGCTTCGAACCGCTGTTAAAATCATGACACTGCAACACGCTACATCAGAGCCCTGCAGCAGCACAGCCCAAGTCACGATGACCCAGCAATGTGGATCAATATTACAGAGAAAGAGACTGTAGTAGAAAGAAGGAACCGCTTAGTTTTACCTTGGGTGACCCCTACGATAGCAAAAGTAACATTACTGCTAGAAATGACCTTTGGAATGCAAACATAATCATAACAAAAACGCTACAGCTGCCCTACCCCCACCATACACATGAACACACAAACACAGCAAATTATCTCCCATATCATGCAGATCGTGTTTAGAGGGGACACTAAAACTTAAAAAAATAAAAATATATATATACATATACACAAACAGAAAAGATAAATCACCTCACTGCTCAATATTTTCAAATGACAGATAATGACATTTTAGTAAATTCTGCTATTTTTTGTAATTTATAAGCAGTAATATATCCTTGTCAGTTTTATAGTCATTTCATGCCAAAAAACATTTTGACTATGAGAGACTGCATTTGCTTTGGAATGAAACTGGTCCAACATGGCGGTATTGTGTTTACATTACTAAGGGCATGTTTCTATTCTCATTCATGTGAAAATGTCAAGTCTAATCTTCCTGTGTAACCCTGTATACCCTAGGACCTGTGTGCTTAATATCACATAATGTTGATGCGACATGTATTTATTGCTACAGCTCATAGTCTGATAGGGGTGATGGCAACACCCTTTTACGGTCTGAATATCCATTGCAATAAGTTGAGTTCAGGTGAGCAAGGATCATCTCTGAACTCTTCAGACTGAACTCAAGCCACAGCTGGACTTGGACTAATGAGGTGGAATAGAGACACCTATTATCTATTTTTTGAAACTGAAGGCGCCAGGGGCTGTCTTCAATCAAATGAGAGAATGTGATGACTTGATGCATGAGAAGCTGACGCCCCCTGCGTTCTGTCTGGCTGCCTAATCTGTTTCTATGGTTTCTATTAGAGTCAGATGAGCACATATCTCTGAGTGAGAGACGATGGAAGTATGGTGCAAGACAGTGCCAGAATGATAATGAGTGCTCGTTATGATCCATCATGTCTGGACATGGCCGTCCTTCTCCTATTGATTTCTTCATCTCTTTGGTCTTTCTTGTCAGTATGCCACTCCCTCTATCTAATTCCACTTTAACTGTGCTTTTTGTCTCCAAGGCATCCATTCAAATAGATGGCTGTTTAATATGATCTACTTCTCACCGAAAGTATGCTGTATTAGCAAGTGGATCCTACTCTACTTTGGTCTTCCTGCTCTTTCCACCCTCCTCAACTCCACCATGCCTCTGCCTTTGTGCCCTCAATGTGACTGTCTGGCCTGCGTTCTCTTCCAGCATCCTCAGCAGCACTCCCTCAGACTCCAAGGTCTTACAAGCTGGTGCAAGGTCAACAACACTGGAGGAAGGGAAGAGGGCTAAAGAGAGAGCGAGTGAGAGAGAATGTGTGCCTCCTATCACCCATTAGGACACGTGGTAGAAACATTATAGGGCTACAAAAAGAGGAAGTGTGTCTTCAATATCAGCACATCATCATCAGCTTATGGTCATGTGACACCAACATGTGCCTCAATGGCGCTAATAATTTCTGACATGAAAAGCAAGCCTGCCCGTCTTTTACTTTCTGTTGCTTATGAGTCACAAAACAAATCTGTTCTCATCGAGTCGAAGAGGCTGTCGAAATCCACTCTTCACCTCCACCGAAAGCGCAAACTATGCATAAAACCTGCCAGTGATTTGCATGGTGGGCTGTGATGGATGGCACTCAGACATTATGAGGTTGTCTTGAATACAGAGAGTTGTAGCTATTAAGGCATGTCTTAACTGATCGAAAAGTAATCAAAGCAACATGATCGCTGCTAATCTGGGCTGGTTCTGAAGTTGTCACTGTGACTAACTGCTAGAGACAACAAGAAGGAGGGTGTGGTTCACAGTTATGGTAAGACTTCCTGAAAAAATGACTGAGTGGCACATAGTAGTCTTGTTTAGCATAGCTTAACACCACAGGTCATGAGTTACTGGAGGCTCTATTCAGCATAATCACATAAGAAATAATACACTGGGATTAACTGGTGCAGTATGAGTGGAGATTAAACAACAGATATGCTACTTGTTATATTGCAGCATCTGCTATGGCAACCTAACTAAAAAACCATTGACCATTGACTGCAGAGAAAGAGGCGTTGGTATCTTTTGGTTTGCTGCTGTTCTGTAAAAGGAGTGGTTTCAGCATATTGACAGAGGTGGAGTCAGGGTGACAGTGTGCTGAGACAGGTCATCACAGTGGAGGACGCTGGAGGAAATGCACCCCAGGCCTCGCTGCTGTTGCGCCATGTGCTCAGAACATAGCATGTCAATACTGCCCTCACTGACCTTTATGTAGACACATACACACGTGAGCATGCTCTTCTCTCTGGCTCTTGATCTTTTACGTACTGACACACACATACCGAGAGGCTGAGGGCTGCTACTCTATCCACCATAGCCCTGCTACACCACATGCATCCCTGAGTAAACTGCATTTTCTTTGAGGATGGGACCATTCATGTTGGTTGATAGATCACACCCAGTAAGGTCTGCAGGGCTAGGGCAACAGCACATTGCATTAAAAGGAAATGATGAGTATACTATTTATTTAACATTGGTTTGTTATGAATAGAGGTTATTGATGAAAAGAGCTCACATGGACATATTGCAAACGCAAAATCACCGCCATTTCTTTTTTGAGTATCACCATATCGTCATCAGCATGAAATCATCATCTCCTCTACTACTCTAACTATTAGTTTAACTGGCTTATTTGTCATCGGATTAAATAACATGGCTCTGAAAGTGAGTCTTAGGCTAGGAACGCACAACAAACAATGCCCATTGATTCCTCCAAGAGCAAACCTCTGGAGACAATTAGATCTCTTGTTTAGCATACATGGACAGAGCTCTGCACACACACACACACTGACAAGACACACAAAACCTATTCAAACACACAAACCTCTATGTGTCTTGACACAGAGTATTCTTAAGCTATGGTGAATATGTGACTGTATGCAACACTGCATCTTTGTGTGTGTGTGTGTGTGTGTGTGTGTAAGGATGTGGTGATGTCAACGGACAATGAGGATAATGGCTGGCCTTATGGTTTGATAAGTGGGTCATTGGCTCGCATTTATGTTGTCTGTGTCAATGTGGTGAGACATGGTCAGACTGCTTAAATGAGATGAGAAACAGCACATGCGCAAAGGGCTGAATGGTTTGATTTGACTATTAAAATGTTGTGAAGCACATGCTAACACCTTAGCAGTTACTATTATATCTTGGGTGGTGTTCATGCCTCCAGCAGAGTTTAGAGATGTGTAAAATACCTTACTAACAAACTGTTTATTAGGTGGAAAAATCGATACAGCATAGTATCGCGATAATTTCCGTGGCAATATTGTATCGATACACCGGGGTCAAGTATCAGTCTTTTATTATATAAATTGTACATGAGAATTTTACTTTTTGGTACTATAATAATAAAGAGTAATAATAATAATTGCAGTCCAATAGAAAAAGAGTTTTTCTTTTGGGACACAATTTGAAGTTGGAAAAAAGGTAATAAATTGCAATATATCGCAATATTTTTAAAATCGCACTGATCTCATATCATGACATAAGTATCATGATAATATCGTATCGTGGGGCCTCTGGTGATTCCCACCCGTACTGTTTATGATCTTTAACCCCTTCTATTTGCACCCATTTGTCTATATACAGGTACTGCATAACCTAGTGGTTATTCATAGGACAAAGACATTAACAGACATAAACATATACAGTAGGCCAATTAAAAAAACACTATATTTTTGATATAATTGTGCGTGACTTTTGGTCTTTTCCAAACACATTATAGCCGTTGTGTGATTAAAACTTTCTGAAAAGTAGCACAAACTGTCTACACATACTGATACATTCAAATGTTTTCTTTTTGAATCTATCTATCTTTTTCACTCCTGAGCATACACCACAGTGCCTAATCATGTATGCCACTACCCAAAAGGCGCACACAGTACCCGTTCAGTTTCTTTATCAGTATATTACATGCAAACATACTTTGCCAGTGACCAGTTTTATCTTCGGTGAGTTATCTGTGTAATTTCCATTTAGTCAATCGTTTCCATGACGAACGGGCCATGCTAATGTACCCACATCCACTGGCTTGTGTTGGGGTCTGCTTCTAATATACCGAGGCAAACTGACCCAGTGCAGTCCCAGACACAAAAAAGGCTAGGTAGCGAGGTAGCTTGAAAGAGACCGTGAGTGAGAGAATGAGACTATTGGGGCAGGAGCGTGTTATTAAATATCACAGCCGTCTGTCTCTGCTTCAGAGATGTCAGGGCTGTAAGTAGGAGCTGATGCAAATGGGGTGAAGAAAAACAAGAACAGGCTTGTGTTGACATGTGTACCTCTGAACAGAACAACAAAGGAATAACTGGACACTTAATAACTAATTACTAACTCCACAGACAGCAGCTTCAACATGCTGCTTATTAGCACTGTTGTATAGTTCATAGGTAGACACTGACTTTTCCCTTTATACTGCAATAGCTGATTATTACAACAATTATTACTGGCTACCTGAAAGGAAATAGATGCACATAGGTTAATATTGGGGCAGGTTAAAGATTCAACTACGTCTCCGACAGTGGTTGAAGTCAATTTATTTTAGCTTAGCTTGGACTTTTGTTAAGTTTAATGTGTCTTCCTCAGCCAAAGCTGTGTCAAACTGTTGCTCAGAGGGGTTGAAATGTGGTCATGACAAAGTAGGAACATACAGAGACGCACTCGTGTAAAAAAGGCTTAACCTGTCAGCACAAATTCACTCATGAACATAATCGTGTCTGTGGGGCAGGTTGTAGATCATAGGAAACACACATAAATGCAGGGCAATTTGCACCCGAGTTCACACACTCCATATATGTACAAGAATACACAGAGAAAGCAATATTTCACTTTGACATTATTAGCCATAATATTCACAGTGACAACAGCAGCACCTTCATCTGGCTTCTGCTAGACAGAAATGAAACTACCTGCAGCAGAGCTACCATGAGGATTTTAGAGTCTCAACAATGCAATCTGCCACACATCTGTCTGTGCACATGCTTGCATGTGTGTGTGTCTGTGTGTGTGTGTCAGTGCGCTACTGTCTGAGCCACCCTGAATCCCTCTAAGTCACAACAACAACATTCCTCATCATCGCCACAACCACGGACACACCACCAAGAGGAAACCCAGAGAGGCGAGGGTGAGGGTGGGGGTGAGGGCAGAGGTGGTGAGGAGAGGTACAAAGAGGGAGAGGAGGGAAGGAAGGCAAGAGTTTAAAGCTATGAAGATACTCTGGCTTTCTCATACCATATGTATTTTACCACAATCATGTCCTGCTGTTATTCAAACTGTTTTGAGACTCTGAGAAAGAATCTACGCCTGCAAAATAATGTTGAAATCATTGTATTTGAGTCTGACAAACTGCCAGATATTATCGCACGTAAGAAAACACTTTGGGTCTGTTTACCATAGCATGATACAAATAGACAAACTTAACTCCTGGAAGAAACAGAAACATTGCAGGGAAATCTCGCGTTATCTCCCAAACCCGTCAAAGTACGAAAACTACTTACTTTCACTCCAGTTTAAACATCGACAAGTAAAATCCTTCCATTTACTGGGTCTCCTTCTCTCTGTCTCTCTCTCTCTGTCTCTGTCTCTCTCTCTCTCTCTCTCGTTCTTGTCCCCTCTTTCCTTCTCTCTTCAACTTTCTTCCTCTCTCTCAGTTACTCCCCCTCTGTCAGACGCATGAAAACACTCACTTAGTCACACACACACACACACACACTCCCACAGACAGAGTCACCCTCTCACACTCTCTCCTCCCGCGACCCGGAATGCTTGGCAAGATCTAACTGTACTGAAATACTGTGCTCACCATATAAGGTAGCAGCAGCTTCACATGTCACACATAATTTACATGCAGTGGGGCGGGAGTTTGCCTTATACAGAACACACACACACACACACACACACACACACAGACACACAGACACACATGCAAAACCATGCTTCCCCCTTTAGGCTGATGCAGCAAAGGAGGGAAGAGGTAAAAGAGAATGATATTTTTCTCCTTGTTAACCAAGCCCTGCAGGATAACTCCCAACATGTCCAATGTTGAGTCAGATGGAGGGAATGAAAGCTGAGTGGGCGATCTATTGATCCTCTCCACTGCTTCCTGGAACAACCGCGGCCCTCCAAACATACACACACACACACACACGCACGCACACCAGCAAATTTTCTAGCTAACTAGCGCTACCCTCAGGAAGTAGCTATTGTGTGTGAGTGTCTGCTTTGAGCCAAGAATGTGTCTTTCTGTGTGCGTCTGTACGTGTATGTGTGTGGTTATGTGCTAAAACAAGCCGTAACAAACAAGACGTTAACCCTGTGGCCCATATACTAAACACACACACACACACACACAGCCAGCAGGCACTAAGGCAAAAAATCCCCATATCTCTACCTATGCTCCAATGCACAGGCGCTTACTTTGGAAAGTAAAGACTGCAGTACACACACAGGAAGAAAGATCTAGATAAACCAATGAGACAAGGAGGAGGGCTATGAACCAAGCTCTTACCTCTCACATTGCTCTCCAGTGTGTGTGTGTATGTGTGTGTGTGTCTGTGTGTGTCTGTGTGTGTGTGTGTGTGTGTGTGCTTCCGCCTGTCGATTGACTCTGTGTTTATGCGTGTGTTCAGACAGGCCGAGACAGCAGACCCCCAGGCACCGGCTGGACCATTCTCAGGCAGGCAGGCAGGCAGAGCGCAGCAAGGCAGAGCGACTGGCAGAAGAGAGGCAAGCGAGTGAGCGAGTGAATCAGCAGCAAATGAGTAGAGGAGCTGTGCGGAGCCGAGCACCAGAGTGAGAGAGAGAGGGAGAGAGGGAGGAGGAGTGTTTGTCTGTGTGTGTGTGAGTGTGTGCGTTGCAGTGTTGGCTGTGTGCGCTAGTGTCTCCCCTCCCCTGCCTCTTGAAGTGGCTGAGCTGGGCTGTGCTGAGACGGGCTGGGCTGTGTCTCTACTGACTCCCCAGCCTCTGGATCGTCTGTCTGCTGCCCGAGGAAAGTGGCGCTCGCTGGGTGGCAGTAGCAACAGCTGTGGAGGAGGAGGAGGAGGAGGAGGAAGAAGAGTAGGAGGAGGTCCTGACTGCACTGGGCATACAGATCCTGCAGTCCTCTCTCCCTCCCTCTCTCCTTCTTCGCTGAAGGCTGGCCACGCCCCCCTTCCCCCCCCTCTGAAAACAACACCAGGAAGTGCTGGTTCAGTTACAGCAAAACTGCCGTTGCCTATCAAGTGAAGCTGAGGAAGGAGAGAGGAAGGAGGGAAGGAAACATTGGGAAAACACAGCAAGAAGATAAAGAGGGAGAAAAAGAAGGGAAATTAGTAACAGGATAAACATAGAAGGAAGGAACGGCCATGCAGAGTGTCGAAGGATGTAGAAATAAAAAGCTGGGATTGTGCAATTAAATACGACCAGAGCGGAAAGAGTAAGACAGAAACAAGTGAAACAAGGGATTTAATGAAGTAAGGGTGAATAAGAATGAAAAACAGCAGTTGGAAAGAGTGAATAGATTAAAGGGGTGTGGAGGAAAGAATTATGGAAAGAAATTTAGAAGGAGTTTGTGACAGATTAGGTCTGGCTTCTGTCTGGATCCACCCTCTCTCTTTCATACTGCTTTTCTGCTGTGGAGTACAACACCAACACCTCAGCTCAGCCTCACACTCTCACAGCTCTTGCCCAGACTATAAAAGCAGGATACATTGAACTGCACTAAATCAAACTGGACAACGTAGTGGTTATACATTCAGAGTAACAGCGCGTGTAAATACTCTGCAAATGACAATTCAAAAAGATGCAGAGCAGTGCAGTTTGGTTGCAGGTCAGCAGCATATTATTTTAAAAAAGGCTAACCGAGGCAACACTGAAGCAACTGCTGCTGCCATCTCTCCTGTATTGTTGTTGACTCAAGGCTTCCGCAGCCACAGCCAGTGCATCCAGGTGAAAGACAGAGAGGCTAAAGGAGCCTCCAGGAATGTGATTTGGACCTGATGCTGCAATATCCTGTAGCCATGGAGATAGTGGCTTTGGCATCTGTAGGAATCTTTACAGATTTGGAGCTGTGTGCTGACGCCAAGTTTTCTGCATATTGTCTCTGACTCACTTCATTTGATTGTGATCAAGGAGAAAGTGCATTTGTTATGCTGCCTGTTTAGAATATTGAAAATAGCCTTACAATGTATTTGTTTGAACCCTCTCATTCTTATGTGTGCATATACGTATAATATAAAATAATAAAATTATTTATAATATGTATAATAATAATAATAATAATAACAATAATAATAATAAAAATATCATAAAAGGCTGTCATGCGTAAAACTATCACGCCTGTCTTTCTGTTCCACCCCTTCCTTCCCTCTCTGGACCAGTTTCTACTGCTGGAAAGCTCTGTTTAATACAAAGCTGGTGGTAAGTCATCTCTAATTTACACAGCAGGCCCTTAAACCCCAGGTGACAAGCTGCGGTAAAGCCCCAGCTGCAGTGCTAACCCTTTACCAAACCAATATTGTGGTGCAATGAGCCTGTGTACTCTGAGAGAACAAAACCAAACGTGTTGCATACTATATGGAATATGTCATAGCACTAGTTTTCCTGAGATCATGTTTTGATAGACAACGCCATCATTAGCTACAACAGCAAAGTGCATGCCTTGATCTATATCTAACCGTCATTCATTAGTGATGGTAGGAGATCTATTTCCAACCATGGAAACAGCCCTGCTAGAACACACGTCTTTTAGATTAGTAGAGCAATCTGCTTGACCGCTGATCAGTGGAAGCAGCAGGTCACCCTAACCTCCAAACTGAGTTTTCCTTGACCTATAATGAAGAAGCAGGGTGACTGATGCTGCTGTGGCTCAATAGGAGACGCGTTAGCAACGCCTCCAAAGATCTGGGCTCTCTGTGAAACTCAGACACTGACGTGGAATTTCCCCTCTTCTGCTGCAGCTGAGTGAATGCCAGTGCTTCTGCTTCTTTCTGTCTCTGAATCTTTCTTTTACTCCTCTGCCCTGCTAGTTCATATTTCTTATTCATTATCATTCTTCATAGGTTATCTATGAGTCTGTCTTTTCACTTTGTCTCACTTATGACTAAAATATCCAAAAAAACAACCACAACCACTTGTCTGTTTGTCACAACCCACAGAGCCATGTTCCCCTAGTCCAATTAGAGGTATGAATGTAGAACCAAGCTTTACAGTTACCAGATGGTTTGCTCATTCAGTTCCTCAAGTAATAAGTTTTGTTCTGCATCTTTTCTAGTTTCTATTTCTTTGTTAGCTTCCTGCTCCACATGTCTTGTATGTCACTGGTAGGAGGCTGGTGTGGCTGTCGTTCCCTCTAGGAGATCAACAAGGTTATAGAGCTGTTTGAATCAACATACTGGGGTTGAACAAACTGTTCACACACATACTAATGTTAACCAACCGAAAACAGGAAGAGGTGTGTGTGTGTATGTGTGTGTGTGTGTGTATGTGATGTAGTTAAAGGGGAATACCGCCTTTTTTACAGTTGGTGAACTACCCACTGAAAACAGTTGTATACAGTCGTCTGTGGCTCTGGAGGGAGATTTGTGAAGTCTTAGAAAGCAACCCAAATAATGTCAATTGTCTGCTTGTGGAAAGTCCTAGAAATGTATAAAATCTACACAACAGAGTAGTTAAAGTAGTTTTACAAGGATCCTGGAATATTCTCACACTCTTAATCTTCATTAGTCCCTAACCCTTAACCCTAACCCAACATACTCTAGTATGGGTGACCTCTCTGCCTCTGTCAAACCATCAAATCCTAACCCTTCACCTTCATCCAGCCTTATTTTCTCTCCCTCCTCTCCGTTGAATGCAACTTTCCACCTTAAGTTTGCATATCATCTCAGCGCTCTGCTATTTCTCAGCCCTCTGTAAATGACACTGGCTGGCAGATGTGAACTCTCACTCTACTGAGGAAATGTCCTAGAGCTTTCGTGTGCCAAACTCTGACGGCTCATCTATCACTAAGGCCGCAAATACACATTACACTCCCATTACAGACCATCACAGCAACAACTGCAACAGTACACGGTCTTGCATAAAGCCCCACATTAGACTATGGCTTATTTTAGCGGCTACAGAATGAGAAAGCAAAATATTGCTTCGAGGTACTTTTTTTACCCTTCTGCTTATGTTATGTGCTTAAAATATGTGAAGATATATGTTATAACTATCCTACACATTACAAAATATGTACAAGAAAGTGGGACACGCTGCAAATGTGTGTATGCTGACAAATACTCCTTTACTGGTGTGAATTTGCAGTCATGTTTCACTGCTGCGTACTTTGTGGTTTTCTCTTAACTTCTTTCCACTTTGATGCAGTGAGGGGAAGCAGGTGCAATTCAAGCTGTCAGGTTTGAAATACAGAGAGAGGAAATAGCACACTGTCTTGTCCCCATCTGACACCAACGTCGGTGTGTGTGTGTGTGTGTGTGTGTGTGTGTGTGTGTGTGTGTGTGCGTGTGTGTGTGCGTGTGTGTGTCTGTGCACCACCCAAGCATGAGGCTTATCTTGGAGATAAAATAAAAAACGAATGGAAACACCCTCTGCAAAGAGGCTTTTCACTTGAGCTTTCAGCAATTTTTCTGTCTAATTGCAGCCGGCACATAAACTGTTGCAAATATTAAATTAACTTTCCCATATATCCCATACTTCTTACAAACCCTTCACAGTACAGAGACGCATTACACAAAACTGTATAAAAAGAAAAATACTGCAAATGTTGGCTTTCCTACAGCTGAGAAACTTTCCGCTTTTGTAAGTACCAGAGAAACGTTTGTTTGTTGAAAAGAGAGAATTATCACCAATTAAACAGTATAAGACATCTCATAAAACAAGTCAGTAGAAAACGCTGAATAATACCAAAAGCCTTTTAAAGTTATCAACAGACATTAATCCTACAGATAGTGACTTTATAGCCGGTGAGCTTACCTGTGTGTCTGTCTATCGCTGACGTGCCACTGGGACAGGCGAAGCCACTTCAACAAGGGTCACACCGACGCAATGCATTGTGGGATGAACTAACATCTTCATTTCTCTCTTCCTCTGCTCCTCTCACACATCTCTCTCACTCTCATAATAGCACGTTCTGCTTGGCAACGGCCATACCACAAATGTGGTCAGGTTTACAGCGAACCATCACTGCGCAACATCAAGTCTCCATGACAACCACTCCTTATCTCATTTGCATCTTCTGCTTGCATTATGTCCTGATGCCAAATATGGTCACTGTGTTTTTTCCCCCGCCTCTCTCTGCATCCCCTTTTTCAACTTCCTCTTTCCCTCTGTGTGTATGCGCGTTGTGTCTAATCTGTATGCGCACACACACATGTATGTATGTGAAAGCCTGTGTGTGTGTGTATGTGAAAAGAGGAAGTGCCTGTGACATTAGACCAGTTTGCAGCCTGAGAGATAAGCAGTGAAACTGCTTTTTAAATCAGGAAGTGGGGTGTTGTAAAGGATGCTGTTATGGGACAGGGCAGAAAGGGTTTTCATAATCCTCCCATGGCAGGTACATTGTCACAGGATTTCACTTATCCCCTCAGTTCTTCTACTGTGAGGTTGGTGCGGGCATTTGGCCTCCTCCTCTTCCTTCCCCAGGCACCATGTCTATCAAACTATCACTGGAATGTTGAACCAGGCCCCTGGAGCCCACACACAGCAACACTCAGCAGCACTCAGCACCTGTCTCCGACTGCCAGCACAGAGAAAGAGAAACGGTCAATCACACTGGACAGCACAGCAAAGAGGAAAGTGCAGAGGAGAGTGGGAGGCACCATTTTATCATCAGAAAAA